CCCCCCCCCACACCATGTGGTGCGTTCCCGCGTCTGCTTGCACATGCCACACATTTACTCCAAGATCCATCACAGCACTGTGACCTCTTCATCCCCGCATCGGAGAAGTGAGAGGCATGATAGGCCAAGATAATCTAGACTAGGTTGGCCTATCACTGTCAGGCAATGAGTTCTGCTTCACAACGGTGTGTCTGCGCGTGCCAAACCCTCCCCACTCATTCGCTCCGGCCTTCATCGTTGGCACACATGGGCTCTCCCATTCTTTGTTTGGCTTGATAACCAACAACTTTCTCAACTGATGAGGTTTTCATGTTTCAATGGTCTGTGCGCTGTGCACAGCAGCAGCAATATTCCGGTATAACCGACTCGCGTGACGGTCTGATTGCGCTATAGCAGTATTTTATTTACAAAGATAAAGAAGGGAAAAAAACGGGGTTTTAGAATAGTGTCTTTCTAGCAGACTTCTCGTTGTTTCAGGACTCGATATCAGTGGACTCCACTGTAGAAGTATTCTAAAATGTGAAGCATACAACCCCGGGGTTAAAAAATGACCCCAGGGCGTATGGATAGGGTTAAGTGGACTCCCCTGTATTTCTCTATTGACTAGAAGAAGGTAAAAAACTAAATGTGTTGTGTTTGTTGCAGAGAATCATCAACCGACTGTTCCACCTGGACGACTTGACCATTCCCGACCTTGACCACGACGCCGTCACTGTGCGGGAGATGTCCCCCGCTGACGTGGTGCACATGTCGACCGACACAGCCGTCATGCACAAACTGTTCCCTCAAGGTCGCATCTTCGCCCACTCCATGTACCTCAGGCTGGTGGAGGAGAATCTGCCAGAACTTATCTCTGACAACGCCGCCATCTTTGCCAGCACGACAGACGCCAGTGGGGGAACACAGATGTCGCCAGGAACACAGACGTTGGGTTGTGCTGACGGAAGACGCCTCAGCGACGCGGATATTTCTGGCATCGACATGATCTCCACGGCCTACCACAACATGGCCGCCATCGGGCTGCAGTACGAGATGGATATCCAGTCGCCGAGCGGGCTCCGCTCTCTCCCCGCACACCTCCGGCACCACGTGCGGGCCATCAGACAGCTGGGTGCTCCCAGCGGCGTCGTCATGGTGACCATCAGTGAGGGGCTGGACGAGGCCGCTGTGGAAGCTTGCCTGGCCACGTACGGACTCACCAAACACTTGGCACACGCTGAGAGACACATTCTCTACTTTGTCTATCGTTTGTGAAACGGGAAAAATACAGTCGTCTGTCTCCGTGGTCAGATCATGACACTGACGTGTTGTTTTGTGTGTCCGGGAGGGGGGGAGGGAGGGAGAGAGAGAGGGGGAAGAGAGGGAAGGAGGGAGGGAGGGAGAGAGAGAGGGGGAAGAGAGGGAAGGAGAAGGAAGGAGGGAGGGAGGGAGAGAGGGGGAAGAGAGGGAAGGAGAAGGAAGGAGGGAGGGAGGGAGAGAGGGGGAAGAGAAGGAGGGAGGGAGGGAAGAGAGGAGCGGGAGGGAGGGAGGAGTAGAACACAGACAGCAAGAAACACCACCCAAAGGGAACAGTTTAGAACACCTGTTGCCACAAGCACACACAACACAAACAAACGACGCGTGTTCTTTCTCTTTGATTTCACACCTTTTTTTAATGAGCCGAAAAAATCCAGATGAACAAAATCCTTTAACACTTTGTTCAGAATGACCCAGACAATTAAAACCTCCATGACCTTGCCCCCGACTGAGTACCCGTCTGGTGTATATGTTATAGTACAACCCCCCCCCCCCTCCCCCCAATACTTGACAAAGTAAGCTGTAAACTTTCTCTGGGGAACCGCTCCGAGACCTGACAATGTCCGCTGTTGTAATCGCTCCGAGACTTGACTGTGTCTCCTCTGTGTATCCAAGACTTGACAATATCTGTGTCTGTCTCCTGCGTCTACTGTTGCTGCGTGGAGGGCCTAACGTAGGACAAAACACGAGCGCCGGATGAGGGAGTTGTGAAACAAGGACAAAACAACAGTACAGTTCACAAAGGGAGAACTTGTTAGTTTTAGTAAGAGTTTTATGGCACTTGCAACACAATAAGGTCATATAAGTTATAAGTACCGAAGAATAGACGTGTTACAAGAGAGTAACATACAGAAAAAAGGAGGAGTGGCAAGGACGACAGATGTTTGATAGGAGAGAAGGGGCAAACCACACCAGAGCACCCGCCAACCACCCACTAAAGGGAGAAGTGAACTTTGAAAACAGTCAAACCTACTTTGTCACCCTGGGATGCCGATCGCTGAGTTTGGAGGGACAGAGTTTTGGTTCCCACTCTATACAGACCATCTTTAGTTTTAGTTGAGTTTTTTACAGCAACTGCATAAGGTCATATGAGCACCAAGGGGTGGATGTGAACAGAGAAGTCCAAATGAGGAATCAGACTTACTCTGCTCACCTCTCTAGCTTCAACAACACAAAGTCTGCTTCGACTATCAAGGCACCCCGAAATAGCGGGTCACAAGAGAGTGACAAACATACAAAAGAAGTAGAGGAAAATGACGATAGTAAGGATGAGGTAAGAAAAAGCAGCAGTTCCCCGTATGTTGTTCCAGCCCATTGACAATTCTACTGTGCATAAGAACATGGTAATATTCTGTGCCGGCATAAAGCACATTTCCGACTCAAGCACGCTAAACGGCTCTTACCGAATTTTTGCTATATAAATTACACGACTTTAAGCACGGTAACTTCGGCTTCAGGCACGCTTCATTTACAAGACAGTTGATATTTTCACGATGACCCATCGAAGTTCGAACACAGTCTACACCGCAGCAGTGAATGTGTTAAGAGAAACACAAAGAACGCAAATGATGGACACACAGAGAGGAAGGCAGAGAGACGCACACAGCCGCACGCGTGGACAGAGGATCTAGCCTAGGGAAAAGCTACACACAGACAAAAACAATACAGAGTCGGGGTGACGAGAATGGGAGGCTGGCTGCCATTTCACCTTTGACCCTCGCTATCCATTAATCCTGATTGTGTATCACGCGCGAGGTGGGATGAAGGCGGTGGTATGAGTGGCACAGCGGGCAGTGGTACACACAGGCAGTGTGTAGGCCTAGTGCGCTGTATCGTGACTGGCTGTCTAAATTAAGTTTTCATTTCCCATTCGACCACTAAACAAAAACTACCATGGCGGGTGTCTAAATAAGAGTGCACACTTTTGCGGGACCGCTATAGGCCAACTTACAAACAAAGGGAAACAGCATGGGACATTTTCTACATGAAAATCTCTGGATTATGTCTACTTCGCACTCAAGCACGCTTCGGCTTTAAGCACGCTTAAGCTTTCTCCCGATGACCGTGCTTAAAGCCGGCATGGACTGTAATAAAATAAAAGACACCAGAAACAAACACTAGCCAAATAT